AAACCTTAGTTGAGACAAAACGAGGTGCACTGAGACTAAGAGTTTTGTTGATGTTGGTAAGTCTCACGTGTTAAGCATTCTCCTCCAGTCTTCCAGCCGAAGAGGTAGGAAATTCAATGTCTGTTTCCTCAAGGAGATAGAAAGTCCTTGGCACAGAGAGGACAACAAATGCTCTAAGACCTCCAAGCTCTTAGAAAATGTCATTCCATATATGAAAACAAGTAATGCATCTGAATTGTGAAAAATCTGTGGTTATTTTAAAGGTGTAGCTGCTTTGCCTTTTATATGAGAAGTGTTGCTGAGAAAGCAAGCTTAATGGCGTCACATAAAGATGCTTTGTTCAGATTCACATTCATCTGAAATTTATTATAACTTCATTTTGTGTTAGGCCTGTGAATTCTCAGAGCAGCTCTTCCCAAGTGTTAATAGATATAATAATGGGTGCTCTTTCGCCATTATATTTTTGGCTGTTAAATAAAGTAGGGAATGACGTGTTGAGTTTAAACAGGTGCATGTGTGTGCACGCAGGTGTTTTGTAGAAGCTTTAAAATGTCAATAGGCACACTGGCTCTCCCAGAGGGAAGTGTAGTGTGAAGTGTTTTCCAAACTTTTATGTGACCACAGAAGTACTCATTTAAGAACATTGTAGAGAACATTTATGCTCCAGGATACATGTTGGTACACCACCCATCTTACATGGTTGTTAGGGGACCTAACAACCAGAGTGTTATAAACGCCATTAAAAATGGTTTCAAGAGGGGAATGATCACTTAATGTGACGGGAACTGGGGACTGCAAGAAGGAGACATTTGAGTGGGGCCATGAGGGATCAGGGAAATTCCAACAGGTAGGTTTAGTAATTGGGAGGTTTTCGGGTGCAGGAAGAGGAATAGGCAAGGACATAGAGATGCTAATTGCCTAAGTTAATATAGTTGGCATAATACCCTTATTAGATTTCCAAAAGAACAGAGCTTGAATCTTAACCAAAGGTCAAATTCTTATTCAGAAGCTGTACCCTTCGTGCATAGCCTTCACATATTAAGCTAGCAAAGGAGACTGGGCAAATTGTGTAGATCTTGGATTCTAAACTAAAGCATTTGGATTTAAGTAATGTGCAATTTCCCCCCTATTTCTTACCCTAAGCAGAGAACACGAACATTTAGTATTTTAGTGTAAAACTGTGTAAATATGTAACGGGAGCAGACTTCAGTGTTAGTAGGTCTGAGTAGAACCAATGAGAAGATTAAATACAGAAAAACACATGTGTGGCCATCTTCAACAGGACACTAATGTTCTGTCATAGAAAGGGTTGTGCCCTTTCAACCCAAGGAAGTAAAGAGGTCTTCTTTTCCCTTCACCCCTGATACCTCGAAGCACCCCATAAGACTGAGAAGCCTGTAATACCACAAGGCTGAGTTTTCTACAGCATCTGTAAGAAATAAATATTTCATGCTTAAAGTGGTGAGGTTTTATTTGGTTTGTAATGTTAAGGCAGTGTGTATTCCAATATCTTAGTGACAGAAGAGACGTGATTTTCTAAACCATATTTGCAAAGGAAGGAGTAGGGAAACCCTGAGGCTTCACCCATAGTTCTTTCAGGTAATAGCTGCTCAAAGGGCAGAGGCAGCAGGTAGAGAATTATTTCTGGATTGAACGCAAACCCTCTCGTGTAACGAAAAGTTGTGGCGGTTTGCACTCAACTTGCTGCGGCAATAAATCATTGCTCCGTGGGCTTCACACCATCACTCCATCCTCACTTTTCATGGACCTGGTGCCTGCACAAGAGACTGTGATTTATTAGTTAACCCACCTGAGCCTGTCTCCTGAGGAGGAATCTGCGCTTCATGGCTTTATTGCTCCTTCAGGCTCTGACACAACCTACCTACCGGGCATCCCCATGCGGGCCTGACTTCTGTCCTTCCCGTGATGACAAGTATCTAGTGTGACACACTTGTGCCAGTGTGTGCGTGGGACAGAAGGCCTGCCTTCCCTCCTCCTGGGCAACGTGCTCCAGCTAGAAGTGTAGCTTCAAGGCAATGCTCAAGTATGAGAGGGAAAAGCTAGGACAAAATAGGCAGAGAGGGAGAGGTTAGGACCTGAGGTCTCCGAGTGGGGAAAAAACCACATATTTAGGAACAATGCTGGGAGCGTCTGACCACAGCAAAGCCCCTTGGGCTTAAGGTTCCTCTTAAGAATGTAACAGACACCCACTACTCTCCCTGGGGTTCCCCTCAGGAATTTGACAAAAGACCTGACTAAACATAAGTAGAGCATAAAACACATGACCCAGACCCAAGGAACAGTATGGCCATAGACCATCCCTCATACAATGATTGAGCCAATCAGGAATGGACAACCCAGCACCTAGAGTTATCAGTCAGTAAGGGTAGGACCTGAGAAGGAACGAGGGGGAAGGGAGAGGGGTGCTGACCGGAACCTTCTAAAACAAAGACCCTTGCCTATCGTCCGTGGGCATTCACTTTCGAATGTCCCCTCTCTACAGAGAGAGCTTTGCTACTATTTCTACTTTCTGGTCTTAGACTCTAATAAACTTTTACCCGTTGCTCATTTTATTTTGTGTCATTCTTCGAAGCGGCGAGACAACGGACCCGGGTATGGAGGTAAAATAACAAATCCTGCAACACAAGCACCACCTTCTCCTCCTCACTCTCCTGACTCCTCATGTCATACATGCTATGTTGCATCCAAAACATGGCTCTAAGAGCCTCTGCCCACGAGGTGTTACAGCCAAGGAGAAGGCACAGTCCAGGCAAGCTGGAATAGTAATTTTGAGCTGGGCTCCTGCTTCCTCAAAAAGAGAGGGAGGGAGCTGCCAGCACATAACAAAAATCTCCACATCCATTGCCAATGTGTTTAAACTAATTGTGCTCAGCTCCCCTTCCAATGAGAACTGAAGAGCATGCGGTCTGGTGTAGGGTGCCTTTCATGTGGGTGTTTGACAATAGAAGCATGCCACCACGGGTCCAAGAAAATAAATTTATTAAACTTTGAAGGAAAAAAATCCACAGACATGAGGAGAGTTAAATATAAACTGCAGGACACAACTAGTCATACTAGTGAATAATGGCTTGTGTGGCCAGCAAAGTACCAGAATGACATTCTGAGACTGATTGAGGTATTTAGCTATTTTTGGCTATAGAAATTGTTGTCAGCCTATGGTGAAATAGTAAGATAGTTTTCCCAAGCACACAGTTTTAAGTTGAATTAGGTTCTACACTGATGAAATTGTATATGAAACTAAATTATGTAGCTCTTAGAGAAAACTATAGCAGCAAGGTAGCAGAAAAGATCTATTAAACACCTATTACAAAGTAACATGTTGAACTTGGAACACCCAGTTCTAGCTTTTCACTGTCCTTCCCACAAGAAAGAGGGAATTTAAAATCACCAACCATTAAGCCTGTTTCCTAAAAAGGTCTGAGCTAAATGGCAAATACTATTTAAGTTAAAGCTAACTTTAAAGTTTCATTAAATGTAAAAAAAAAAAAAACAAAACACAAAACCAAAACTTAAAGTGAGAAGCATTTTTCAGTGAGATGAGATTCTTCTCTTTGGACAAACCTTTTGGGGAATAATCCCAACGCTCCCAAGAATGATGTTGAACGATAATTTCAACGTTACTTCAGGACGCTTCTTTCTCTTCTGACTGCCCTCTTGGAGGCCAATCCACTCAGAGGGGAAATAAAAAATGAGGACACTTCTTTGCTACTTTAAATAAACCCTAGAAAGAGTTCGGTGAGGAAGAAAGTTTCCCCATTGGTTTAAGAACATTTTGACTTATCCGAGGGGATTGGAAATCTTGTTTCTTCTGTTTCTTGTTACAATGAATAGTGCGTATATTTCTTTATCTTTTGGTTCCATTATCTGGTTAACTTCATTTTCAATTTGCTTCCACTTACAAAATGCTTCTTGTACTTTATTCCCTTCTTAGGTCACTGTGCAATAGAATCACATTGTGTTAGAAGAGATACTACTACAAAGGTTCCGGGGCCATCACTCATGATCTGCCTGCCTAAACACTCACTCCGTGTGCAACAATAGCCCCTGAGCAGCCTGTCAGTAAGGACCAGCTAATACCCTCTCCTTCTCTTAGTAGGGAGCTCTCTGACCTGAGCCGAAATTTGGGTAAGAAAGAGTCTTTTGTTTGTTTTGGTTTGGTTCACGATGAGTAGACCTGTGCATACATCTTAAAAGTTGTCTCAATTAACAAATATTTCTTTAAAAATTTAAATTAAGACAAGCATGTGCCAATAATGCAGGTAACAACAATCATTTCAGAATTGCTTAAGGAGTTTTGGGAGGTACAAAAAGGGCTGCGTAAAAAACTAATTTGCTTATTTGTTTTTCTTTAGGTGGACTGACCAAAGCATTAAACCGGCTTTAGAGTGCGGTTGCTACATTCTCCAGATGGGTCTGCATGAACTACGGTACACAGCGTGTAGTGTAATATAAAATAGCCATGCTTGTAGTGTAAATTCTTAAAAATACCTTTATAAATTTTATGTCAAAATAAATGTTTTACATATCCAAACTATTTCTTGCCTTCTTACCTATAATTTTAGTTCCGGATTATCTAAAAAACATTGGCCTGTGCTCTGATTTGCATTCGATTTTCCTGAACTGCAAAAGCCACCTGATTTTTTGCTTTTTCAAAAAGCTTGATTTACTATACATTAGAGACAGCCATTCAATGCTTAGTATCACAAAATTAACACCCACATTAACAAGACAATCACTGCCACTAAACAGTCTTTGAGACGATTCTTTAAAATATTTACAGTTCACAATAGGAATATCTATCTGATCAGGCGTTCTTGTTTCTTTTTTAATATTATCTTTCAACACTTCAGGAAAAAGGCATTTAGAATCCGCTCCCCCCATCCCCCCCCAAAAGTTTAAACATTGTTTTGGTGTAAGCACTCATGCCCTAGCCAGCTCCTCACCATTCAATATGTAGCTTGTGGGAAATCAAAGAAAGGCTACGGCATGATTTTGTTCAGTTGGTCTGTGCTCACGTAGCCACACGATGAGAGAAACTCTTTGTCAGGCAAGGGCAAGGCTGTGGCATTGAGCACGAGGCCCTGCGGAGACTGTACTATGTGAATGGAGGTATAGTCTGGGACAGGCATCTCAGAACCCGGAGCCCGTTCTGCTGTCCCAGACTGGCCAGCGGTAGTGGTAAGGCTTTCTGTGGTGATGTAAATGTCTTCCTGGTTAAAGCTTGGCTCCACACGTGATTCAGCCTCGACGTGAGGGGCCATAGCGATGCACTTTTTGGCGTCTGCCTCGCAGAAGTAGGCGTTGTCCATGATGAAGTTTGCTTGGCAGAGTGAGACCGCTTCTGGATGCATGTCACACGGGGATATCCCTGCCTTATTCTTTTGGCCTGGGGAAAGGACCACACTCCCTGCTGGAGTAATGTCGCTTACCTGGGCATAAAAGTCGATGTTTGCCAGTGAACTCGGATTGCTCAGCTGAGTATGGGCAGCTTGATGAGTTGACTCAGTTCCGCTAATAAGAAGCGGTCTTGGTTTGTTTTCCTTTGCTAGGATAACACTGGGCTGCTGAGTGGTAGGGGTAGCATCAGTAGAAGGTGAGTTATTTTGATTCTTCTGGTCAAGGCACAAGAGATCTACTTCCCCTTTTAACCTCTGTGGCTGAGCAACCTCTGAGGTACCATCACACATGTCACTGGCATTGAAATCAGTCTCCAAAATGTCAGGTTCATAACAGCTGGTACGTCCAGAGTCATCATCCTTTGCTCCAAGGATGTTAAGTGATTTCTCATGGTCATTGCTTAGAAGTCTGTCTGTGTCGGAGCCTTCAGTCTTTTCATCGGGGTCATCAATATCCAGCTCAATGAATTCAACCCAAGAGTCATCGTTGTAGAATTCAGGTTTATAGTTGTCATGAATGGCTAAGATTGTGTTCACCTCTTCTAATTTTCCTTCCTAGGAAACAGAAAGAAAATGAAACCTATCAAAAGGAACTCATAATGATTAAATGTTTTCACAAATAACATTCAGAGACTAAAATTATGGTCACAAGAAAAGCGATAGCAACAAAGCCATATAATAAACACATTAGTGTAGAACTTTCAAATACATCATAAGACATTCTCATAATTTTAAGAGATACATTATTATTTTGAAACATTTTTCTCCAGAGGGGTTAAAAATGGAATGGGATACACATAGCTTGCAAAAGCTCTCAACATAGGACAGTATGCTTCACGTGGTATTTAATTAGTGTTATCTAGGCCTTAGATAATTTATTGAGTACCTTGAGGAGATCTGGATCAATTCCTTTAATCTTTGGAACTGGAACTGGGGGAAGAATCAGCATCTTAATCCTTGAAAACAAATAAAATTTTGGTTTGACATATCTGCAAAGTTATACATTCTCGTGTTTCAAAAGATAGGAATAAAATATTAATAGAACTATTACTTATTCCAAATATTCTGGTAGTCCATATAAGTGGAGTACGAGAAAGAAAATAGTAAGCAGTAAATGATGAGGAAAAACTACAGAAGAAGAAAAAAGCAACAAAAATCAACAAAAAGCCCTCATGTGAAGTCAATTTAAATAAAACATAATAGGTTGATGGGGGGGTGGGAGGGTGGGTGATGGGTATTGAAGAGGGCATCTTTTGGGATGAGCACTGGGTGTTGTATGGAAATCAATTTGACAATAAATTTCATATATTAAAAAAATAAATAAAACATAATCTTTTTTTCCTTATGTCTTTATTGACAGCCAGCAGCAGTATTTGGGAATGAGAAATCTGACTCTATCTGAAGCCAATTTCCATTTCATCTATAAGGATGGCAATTTTAATGTACATCTCATCAGTAGTTTGCAGAAAAGAGGAAGGAAGAAAGAAAAAAGAAAGAAAGAAGAGCTGATTCACTTGAAGCCAAAATTATTTGCACCCTCAAAAATGGGATGAATTGAGATAAGTTTGTACCACACAGCTCACATTAATCATAAAATTACCTAAGATGATCTCATAAACCAAGGTGTCATTGCAGGCTTCATTTCAGTTGGGAAAGGCTACACTTGAGCTATCTCTAACTGATCAATATGGATTTATATACCCAATTCTATGATGTGCTTGAATTTTCTGTTCCCAATATTTAAATTATTTCTTGATCATGATTCATTTCAATGTCTCTTCTGCCTGTCTTGCAGTTTATTGTATCCCTAGCACTTAGAACAACTCCTGGCACATAGAAGGTACTCAATAAACATTTCTTGAATAAACTTGAATACCTCATATATCTATTTTGTTAATAGCATAACTAGAATTTGTGTCTTAAAATTAACATTGCAGCTCTGGAATAAAGCTCAGAGATTAGCTATTCTAGTCAGTTCATTTATTGTTTTAAAACAACAAGAGTCAGAGGCACCACTGTTAGGCAGGGATGATAATCTGCTTTTTGGATATTAGTTGATATTCCACTTAATGTGAATGGATCGTCTAGTCTATTCAATAGGGAACCCATCTTCTGAATATTTCCATTTGCCTTTTTACCTAACCAAGGAATAAGCCAAATTTCACTTTTTAAATTGCTGTAAGTAGCCTCCACTAGGTTTACTTAGCGGAGCAAGTGTTAAAACAGATTTTTACTGATGAATAGAAGATACAGAAAAAATATAAATTATTAATAGTTGCTACCATTTTTTTGGAATGCCTCTGATAAAACAGACACCATAAGATATATTTCACACTAATCTATGGGCTAGTAAATGATGGTCTGAGGGCCAAATCTGGTCTGTTCTCTGCTTTTGTAAATAACGTTTTATTGAAACGTAGTCATGTTCATTAGTTTAGATATTGTTATGACTGTTTTCATGCCACGGTGGCAGAGTTGAGTAGTTGTGACAAGGATTTCATGGCTCCAGAAGCCTAAAAATTTACTATCTGGGCCTTTAGAAAACAAGTTTGTCAACCAGACACTAAACATTTTATTTGTTCTTATAACTACCAGGGAGGCAGATATTATCTGTGGAAAGATTTAGAGGTTTAAGGAAGGTACTCAAATCATACACTAATACTTGGCACAGCTGGGGCTCAAATCCAAAGTACCTAACCCCCAAACCCAGGCCTTTTGCCTTCTGTCACGCTGCTGTGTTATTTGGTCCTACATCTCTAAATGAATATTTCAAATGTCAAAAACATAGAAAAATGCAACATAATTGTAATTGCAGGAAACAAAGATTCCTAAATGTCTAATGCTTGACTTTGTTATGTTTGCCTCTTGATTTGCAGAGTATAATGCATTTAGGCACATGTTAGCTTTCTCGGACTTGTAGTTGACTTCCCGCCAGGGTAACAGAGCCTGCAGCCTATAGGGCTCAAGCAGGTGATGCAAATGCACGAAGCAGGCCTGTTGCAATGTCAAAGGGAGGGATGGGAATGGTCACAGAGAACACATATCCTTCCCAAATGGAACAGCTGGTCCTCTGCTTCAACACATGTTGCCACGCAGGAATATCAACTGAATGTCACGAGATCTTTCAGATTTAAAAAATTTTTTTTTTTAACGTTTTTTATTTATTTTTGGGACAGAGAGAAACAGAGCATGAACGGGGGAGGGGCAGAGAGAGAGGGAGACACAGCATCAGAAACAGGCTCCAGGCTCTGAGCCATCAGCGCAGAGCCCGACGCGGGGCTCGAACTCACGGACCGCAAGATCGTGACCTGGCTGAAGCCGGACGCTTAACCGACTGCGCCACCCAGGCGCCCCGAGATCTTTCAGATTTTAAACATGACCTGGAAATCTGGGTTTTTGTGTGGAAATTCCCTAGTTTGTAAACATTTTGTAGCAAAATTTTTACTCCAAAATCAAATACATAAAATAACAAAACATAAGATCTGCAGGCTGAGCTTGGCTTTCAGATTGCCAGTTTGCCACTCCTGTCTGATGCTGATTCAGTTGTTTCTTTCCCCGTTAGTAATAGCTCAAAGGCTGGGATGAGTGTATGGTGAGAATGACTGAATACAGAGTAAAGATAACCTGGCCTGAAGCTATGTTTGTGACTTTGCCATCATTTTATTCAAATCCAAATCACATTATAAACATGGAAAGGGAAAAGTGGCATGGACTCAAAACTTCACACAAAATGTAGAACCTGAGCCCTTTAGAGCCCTAACATTCTGGGGAAAGCTGACATAAGAAGCTCATTCTTTGGAGGATCATTTTATTTATTTATTAAAAAAAATTTTTAATGTTTTATTTATATTTAAGAGAGACAGAGAGAGAGAGAGACAGAGAGACACAGAGTGCGAGTGAGGAAGGGGCAGAGAGAGATGGAGACAGAATCTGAAACAGGCTCCAGGCTCTGAGGTGTCAGCACAGAGCCTGATGCGGGGCTCAAACCCACGAACCAGGAGGTCACGGCCTGAGCTGAAGTCAGACACTCAACCAACTGACTCACCCAGGTGCCCCTGGAGGATCATTTTAATCATTAGAACTTCATGTTCTTTCCACACCTGTTGACAACTGTTTTCTCCTGTTTCCTACTTTCGTTGGAACATGGAAATTTAGACCATGACAAGGGTTTTTATGGGCAAATGAAAGAACAAAACTAATTCTTTTCTATAAAGAACTTATTTAGTACAGGAAATGTGAGAGTACAGTAAAGATTTCAGAACAATTTTATAATTTGGTAATTCTGACTAAGCATTGAAGTTAAGAGCTTCATTATTCATAGAAAACTCTTTTATACAAAGATTAATATATTTTCTTTAACATCCTATTTGTTGAGAGAATTATTTTTTCTTTGAAATATTGGTAGCTAATATAATTAACCAATATAACAAATTTACATGGCCTTCACAAAGACTCAAAATTGACAGCTTATGTTAAGAGTGAATTACTTTATATACATAGTGGGTATGTCTACTGTACTTATATATAAATTAGTCCATCAACTATATAGATCAATGAATTCAAATTAATCAACAGAATTATTTGACTCTTCTGTTGTTGGCATTATTTAAATATATAAATTGCCTAAAATTCTATAAATTTATTTACATTTACTATTTCCCCCCAACAAATGAAAACCATATTGTCAGGCTTTATAACACTCATGCTTGTAAAAGAAATGCTGTTAAAAAGTTAGATAAAAATGAAATTCTGCAGAATGACTTCTGCTTTCCCATTGGTTTACAGTATGAAACTGGAGATGCTACTCTAATTAAAAAGCTTTTGCAATGTGTTCACATAGACCCTATTTTGATTTGTAGATGTCTCTAGGCTTCAGCTGGAGAACATGTCTTTAGTTCTAGGAAATATGGCCAGCCACCTTGGTTTGTCTGGAACTGATGGGTTTCCCAGGACATGGGACTTTCGGTGTTCAAACTCCCAGGAAAACCGGGAGTGTTAGTCACCCTAGTCTTGGAGAAGGGGCAGGATTAACCCAGGGGACTTAAAAAAATACTCTAAAAGTAAGAAAATTTGCAATCAGTACCAATAACATTTCCTATATTCCTATTTCCAGTCTGTACGGAATTTCTTTCAGGGAGAAAAACAGAGAGTGATAGCTCATACAGCTCAAGGGACATTTAAGCCTCATTATAATCCAACATCCTCATATTATTGATGAGAACATGCAGCCTGGAGAAATTAAGGGGATAATCAAACAGCAGTAGCAGAATAATAGCTGGAACCAAGTCTTCAACACCAATACAGAATAGAATCTCCTCAACCTTAGAAAGCATTGTAGCTGTATTTACAAATTCAGGTACTTTGTAACATTGAAATAAAATTTAATAATTTAAAGAAAACCCAGATTTACTTGAAATCGCCATCATACGAAGTCTAAAATGGTTATATTAGATTGAATTATCTAGGTGGCTTTAGTTCGCCTTTTAAATTTGCTTCTATTTTAGGCCTGTGTCAAACTCAGCCAAAGGTTCTGTGCCACCTTGTCATCCTAGAGTGGATGGGCCTGTTCGTTCAGGACTCTGAAGAGGTCAAGGGGCAGCTCAGAGGTAATGATTTTGTGAAGGAGGTTCATATCACAAGGTGTGCAGTCGCTAGCCTCAGCGTCCTGTGTCCTATACAACTTCCCAGTTAGAAAAGACACCTGTGAATTCTCTATGATGAACACAACAACGTGGTAAATGTATACCTAGGGGTAATATTTTACTGCATTAATTAAATTTTTCACTCATGATTTGCAAAAGAAAATATCAAGTAACAAATGGAAACACATATGGAAATCTAAACACTGGAAAAAACATCTAAATATTAGACCATTTCCCACCTACCTTTGCTGTTTAGAAAATACGAATAAAAATAGTATCATCGTTAGCCCAAATATTCCAAAGATAGTAATTAAGAACCATGGAAACTGGAAATCTGAAACACACAAGAATAGCATCTCACTCATAGGGTTAGGAATAGTTGAAGTTTACATTTCACTTTCCTTTTTCACATAAAAAGATTTCTTAATTTGTATTCATCTAGTAAAGTCACCGATTTTTCCTGCTAATCACTAAAACAGAATGCAATGATTTGGAGTATTTTCTTTCCCAAGAACATTTCTGTCCACTGCTTCAAATCCTTTCACATATGAAAAAAAAATCGAAATGAAGAAACAGCAAACAATTTAAGCACAATCCATGTTTGCATTAAAAAAACCCCTGCAGCAACCCCTTTAATTAAGCACCTTATGTGTTCAGGGTGCATCATTAGTGGCTTCAGCTCTAGAAAAAAGTGCTGTTTGTTAACATACTACTTTACCTAAATAATGTCTACTTGGTTCTTTCTTTTTTTCTTTTTTTTTTTTTTAAGTGTGTGGTAATATTTTTTTTTTTAATCCTCCAGACTGAGGATATATCAAAAAGATGGAGGCAGAGTTTCTATTTTTGAATCATGACTGAAACTTCTTAGACATGAAGATCATGTATTTTACAGCTTAAAAAATATCCTGTGATAGAAGATCACTACTGGGGCTCCCATTTTTCAGATTTTAGTATACGTGTTAACAGACTTGGGGGAATCTGTTTGTAAAACTTCCGTTTCATTTCTTTTTGAAAATTAAAAATTTTTTCTTTTTTTAACCTTTTTTCCCCCAAAGTTTATGATTTATTTTGAGAGAGCAAACGAGAACAAATGCATGCCAGCAGGGGAGGGGCAGAGAGAGGGAGAGAGAATCCCAAGCAGGCTTCGTGCTGTCAGTTCAGAGCCCGAAGTGGGGCCTGATCGCATGAACCATGAGACTGTGACCTGAGCCAGGATCAAAAGTTGGACACTTAACCGACTGAGCCACCCAGGTGCCCCACTTCTATCTCATTTCTTAAGACTGAGTGCCTACCAGCTGCTTGCAGTAGGTCCCCAGTGTTCTTACCACTTACCAAGAGGTTACCCACTTTTTAATTGAAATATAGTTGACATACAATCTTATTTTGGCTTCAAGTGTACAACATAGTGATTCAACAGTTTCAAACATTACTCAGTTCTCACCATGATAACTGTCGTTACCACCTGTCACCATACGATGCTATTACAATATTATTGACTACATTCCCTATCTTGTACTTTTCATCCCTGTGGCTTATTTGTTTTATAACTGCAAGTCTGTATCGCTTAATCCCCTTTACCTATTTCACCCATCCTCCCTGTGCTCTCCCATCTAGCAACCACCAGTTTGCTTTCCGTTTTTATGAGTCTGTTTCCATCTTGCTTTTTTGTTGTTCTTTTTTTTTTTTTTTAGATCACACATATAAGTGAAATCACAGGGTATTTGTCACTTAGAATTATACCCTTTAGCTTCATCTATGTTGTGAATAGCAAGAGTTCATTCTTGTTATGGCCAAATAATATTCCTCTGTGTGTGTGTGTGTGTGTGTGTGTGTGTGTGTGTGTATAAATCACATCTTTTTATCCATTCACCTATTGATGGACATTTAGGTTACTTCTATATCTTGGCTGATGCAAATAATGTTGCAATGAACATGGGGATGTGTATATATATATATATATATATGTACATATATATGTACATATATATATATACGCACTTGAATTAGTATTTTCATTTTTGTTGTATAAATACCCAATAGTAGAGTTACTAGATTGTATGGTATTTCTATTTTTAATACTCCATACTTTAATACTCTATTTTTAATATTCCATACTGTTTTCCATAGTGGCTGCTCCAATTTACTTTCTCACTAACAGTGCAGGAAGGTTCCCTTTTTTCCACATCCTCATCAAGGTTATCCACTTTACACAAAAAAGACAGGTGGAGTTTACCTTAATGTTGCTTTATTAAAAGTAAGATTTTGTGCTGTAATGTTCCTTTCTTATTTTTATTTTCTTATTCAGTTATTAAAATCTCCAAAGGAGATATTATGTATAGCATAAAGAATTAATGGAGGAGAGAATACCATTTTATATCTTGTGGTATCTGTAACTTTGTATCAATTGCAGAGTATCAATGACAGTTCCCGTATGTATTCAGGAACATAACAAAGCTAGAACTTCAGGTTTTTTTTTAAGGAAAACATTTTTTGGAAGGAAAAATCAGTTAAAAAAATCTATGCTAACTGAATTAAATGGCATCACAAGAAGCTTAAAGGGTGTGTGGCAAATTTACTTTCGAAACCAGAATTTCAGTATATCAAATATTATACAAAATAATAAGCCTGTTAACTAGAACTTAGAAAAAAAAAAACAGTGCTACAGGCATTTTCATTTAAGTGCTATTTAGTATCATGGATTTTACTTGTACCATCAATGCAAAAATATAAATTTAATTTCTCTATTGCTTGTGATTGCTTCATTAACAAACTTCACATCCTCATACATAGCCCTGTGAACCCTCTGTGTTTAATTGTAGATGCACTATAGCTAATTCCCATGTGGGAGTGATAACTTTATATACTTATTGTTCATTATTAGGCAGACTTCTTTATGTCTGTATCAAAAGTTTTAATTCTCTTATTTTGAATTCATAGATCTCATTTCTCTGAACTTGCATTATCTTTGTATTTTTCTTATATAAGATCTTCAAATGTTCCATGTTATCCTTGCACATAACTAGCATGCTACTTATTAAGGCTTTCTCCCGGTGAAAACCATACCTAAGCTTTCTAAAACCACTAAGCAGCTGGCATTGACAACCTATGCTGACACAATAGTAGGCTTTTTAGATAGGCCACATATCCATCCATCCATCCATTTCTTCACTATGTATTTGAAATACACAGTATTTCTTCACTATGTATTTGAAAAACATTTTTCTGATTATAAATGCAAAACAAACTCATAGAAAATTTTAGAAGTATGGAAACATATAAATAAAAGAATCATCTGTAATTCTGATATCCAGAGATATCCCCCATTAATATCTTAGTACATCTTCTCCTCTCTAACTTACACCTCCCCCAGGACAATTCCTGAATTAAATAATTCAAAAAATAAGTTCTCCTTCCCCTTCTGTAATGAATAATATCTGTTATAGACTGTGAACTGGAGGTCTCTCACCCTGACATTTGAAGCTAATGGATCGTGATCTGAACAATGTTACGACATTGACAAAAGCCACGTTGGCTGCCATTTTAAATCTTTTACCTTCTTCACATGCAAATGGGCTCATTTGAGGAAGTGTTACATAGAGCACCTCACTGAACTCGCCATATTTTTCAGAGTTTCGTTGTCTGGATCTCACACGCACTTCATATTCTTTATCTAGTCTCAGTGAATAAACTGGAACTGATGTTGACAATACAGGGTCCATCTTTCAAGACAAAATATAAAACTTACTGGTTAGCGAGACAACAACTCAATGCAATCAACTCTATAAAGTGTTTCTGCGTCTGTATTCAAAATGAATTCTGTGAAATAGCACAGGGGGAGTTTGCCACTTAAAGGAAGATCAAAGCAAATAACTTTGTTAAGAAACATTTTGTTACATGGATCACAGTTCTCCAAGCTATTTTGGAATAAACCCAAAGAAATAATAGGCTTGTTTATAGAATTGCAACTCCATTTTTGTACTAGGCCGTCAGATATTCTATACAATCAAAGCATAATAGAATTACTATGGAGAATGGTGGAACTATAAAGAAAACTACAGATACGTTTTCTACCCTTTGGGATATTACAGTTTTGCATGAAGACGTAAGAACAGAAAAAAAAACCCAACATTATTTCTACACCAAAACAAATTATAGTCAAACACACACACACACACACACACACACACACACACACACACACACAGAGTTTGTTCTTTGGAAATTCTGGATAGTCACTCATAAGATCACAGAACTGGAAATGGTCCTAGAAAAATCAGTTGTCTAAATTATTCTGTTAGAAGCAACTACATACCTATTCTGCTTCTTCTAGAAGGCTTAAAAGTACTTCAAATGGTTTGCTATTCAAAATTTGCAAAGACATGCCGCTAGAGTCCTTGGTAACAAAAATCAAGGTCCCACAACCCTTCTTTTACCTTCCTGGGGAAGGGTAATAAGGCTATTAGACTTTTAAGACATAAGGCCATCAAAGAAATAGACCCAAGTAATAATGGTGTTTTCCTTCAAGTTAAATTCTCAAAGTAGGTATTCAATATGTGCTTTTCATGTGTTTTCAGATAGAACACCTTGTTACCATTTATAGAAAATTAGGAACACTTACATTTTCAACAGCATGGATTTTTCCATTAAAAAGATTCTCATAATTTGTCTTATTAAGTCAGAGGCTGGGCCTGCAGCTTCTACAATAAATTTCCTTTCACCTCAGTAAGTTTCTACTCACAAAGTCCCTATTTTTTCCCCATGTGTACATGGGATGGTTAGTTTGTATCTTTTTTGAAGCTTTTTAATATATGATATATTTGCATGCCTAAAGTGCATTTTTATTTATTTAAAATTTTTTTATTATGTTTATTTATTTTGAGAGAGAGACAGAGTGTGAGTGGGGGAGGGGCAGAGAGAGAGGGAGACACAGAATCCGAAGTAGGCTCCAGGCTCTGGGCTGTCAGCACAGAGCCTGATGCGGGGCTAGAACCCATGAGGGTGAGATCATGACCTGAGTCGAAGTTGGACGCTCAACCGACTGAGCCACCCAGGGCTCCCCACCTAAAGTGCATTTTTAAAGGCAAGCTTCTGAATTTTAAACTTACCTTATTGGTTTCCTTAAATATTTTTTAAACTGTATGTGTCTAGTTTTGAAGCCCTAATTTCTGTTATTGTAACTAATATTATTAGAGTATAGATTTCACTAATAACAAAACTAAAAAGAGGCCGTCAGTGATTTGACTGATGGTCCTCTCTTTATCTTCTCCCAACCCTCTAAAGAAGCCACACCCCACTCGATTTGGCTCCCACAGCCTGCACTGAACCCTGCCACCTGCCTTTGAGGGAAGGCCTACACTCTGCCAATCCTCAACGCAAGTATGGCTGATATCCTAGGAAGTCTTTCTTGGCCCTTTTTCCTACTCCATCCTGACAGATAATCAGTATTACGAAGACATTACTTCTTATATTTCACTGCTTATATTTCTATATTACTCTGCAAATTCCCTGGAGCAAACAAGGTCTTCATTACCTTTGCATTTCCAAAGCCCAGTTCAATACCAGGTACACAGTGGGTGCTCAAGAGAAGGCCCATATAACTGTGGATAATTCTATGCCACACATTAAGTCTTAAAAAAACCCCATAAATTCCTTTTTTAAATTTTATTTATTTGAGAGTGGGAGAGCAAGCAGGGGAGAGGGGCAGAGGGAGAGACAGAGAGAATCTTAAGCAGCCTCCACGCTCAGCATGGAGGCTGACACGGGGCTCCATCCCATGACACTGGGATTATGACCCGAGTGGAAACCCAGAGCCTGACGTTCAATTGACTGAGCCACCCAGGCACCCCCAAAACCCCATAAATTCTTAACTTGATTTGGCAGGTAAACAAATTGCAAACAACTACATGGTCATGACTATTACTTTCATATTCAAAATGTATTTAGTTTTAAAAAAAGGCAAAATTCAATATTGTCATTGGCAACCTGAATTCCTGATATAAGCAGCAAAACACTGGCTTCCACCTCCTCTCCACCTTACAAACCTCACTTGTTTTTTTTTTTTAATATTTTAATATTTATTTTTGAGAGAGAGAGAGAGAGAGAGAGAGAGATAAAGCACCAGCGGGGGGGACAAAAAGAGGGGAAACACAGAATCCGAAGCAGGCTTCAGGCTCTGAGCTGTCAGCACAGAGCCCGACACGGGGCTTGAACCCACAGACCACAAGACCATGACCTGAGCCAAAGTCGGTCCCTTAACCGACTGAGCCACCCAGGCACTTACAAACCTCACTTGTTTTTATGGTTATGGCATTTGTGCTCGTAACCAATTAGATGGTGTGTTTCTTTAGCAGAGGTCAATTTTTTTAAACATTTATTTATCTTGAGAGAGAGAAAGAGAGAGTGGGGGAGGGGCAGAGAGAGAGAGGAAGAAAGAGAGAATCCCAAGCAGGCTCCATGCTGTCAGCCCAGAGCCTGATGCAGGGCTCAATCCCATGAAGCGTGATATCATAACCTGAGCAGAAAACAAGAGTCAGATGCTTAACTGAGTCACCCACTCAGTCATGAAAACCCATGGTGTTCATGACAACTCTGTCTGAGACCCTTGTAAAAAATACCATGAGTATATAACTTCACTTATAAAAGGTGAGTGAAGTAAAAGTTAACTGACCCCTTTGGACTATCTTATGAGATTGAGCAGAGATGCAATTAAAAGTGAAACAAAGCCAAGCTGGGATGCAGCCCTCAATGGTCAATTGACTGAGTCCCAAGCTCCCATGCACCTTCCTCAGGGTGTGAGTTTCATATTTGTGCATCAGCTGATACACAACTATATGCACTGGGCTTTCAGGGTTGAAACTATGATTCGTAAATCTAAGAATGCTAATGTTTGGATTCACACCTTTGCTTTTTCTAGGTAGTCAACCTTTTTGTTTCAGGACTCCTTTATACTCCTAAAAATCACTGAGAATCCTAAAGGTTTTGGTTTACTTGGGTTATGCTTATTGCTATTTACTGTATTAGAAATTGAAACTGAGAAATTTTAAAAATGGTATTAAATTGATTTTTATAAAAATTATACTTTGCAAGACAACAGAATTATAGTGAGAAGAATGACTTTGTTTTACATTTTTGCAAAATCTCTTTAATGGATTTCTTAATACAAGATGGTGGTATTTTTACATCCACTTCTCTCTCTCTATTTTTTTCCAAACAAAAGGTCTCATATATTACCAACCAATCTACTGGTGCAGAAGCATAGTAACAGAGAAAAATCATTCCCCTGATAAAGCATGTCTATTGTTCAGGTAGTGGTGATGTTTACAGAGTAATAGGATAGGAACACATGACCTTCATGCAACATAAATACGTGTATCATCTCATGTGCAATCCCTTATAGACCCAGCGTGGTTTTTCTCCAATGCCTCCTCTTGGAGTTGTACTTGATTTTATTATCAGTTTTCATCTGAATCCACTGGGGAATGGGATGATTCTGCTTTTGTTTCTTGGCGAGGGATCACTTGATGCTGAAAGTTTTGTGAGAAGACGTGGCGAGGAACAGTGAACCGCACACACCATGATGGCGGAGAAAAGGAGCTACATCTGCTTCTGTATTACATTTGCATTAAATCTGATGTGTTGTCTTGGTTGAAGTACATGAATAAAATCTGGTCTCACATAGACATATAGTGAGGAAAAGGAGGGATATTTTAATAGCCTTTTCAGATAACGTGGATATTCTTTTAAAAAGATTTTAAAGTAATCTGCATACCCAATGTGGGGCTTAAACTTACAACCCTGAGATCAAGAGTCGTCAACTGAGTCAGCCAGTCCATGTGGATTTTCTTCTTTAACACTAATACCAAAACTCAACAAGTGGTAGTTTTTTTTTTAAGTTTCTAAGGAATGTTAATTTTGAAAAAGTGCCCATTGGCACATCTTAGCCTACGGTATTAAATATGATTGCCTGCAGAAAAATCAATACTGGGGATAGTTCAGAGTAATTGTGACCTTCTGTTGGATAAAGAAAGTAGCAAAATATTCACTTACAGACATGTCTATGGATAGACATCTAAGAAATCTTGTTATTTAATAAAGAAATCTATGGATTTTGCAAAGATCACTCTGAGCCATGGAAAGTGATTTAGTGTGGGGGAAGGAGTGGGCAAAGAGTAATACACAGGAACTGATAATAACACCAGTTCATGATATAACTTGAGCATGAATCAATAGGAACTGGTAATTATTTGGATATAAGGAATAAGATTAAGAGACAGATAGATGTCAGAATAATATTCTGGTTTAAATTTGAACAACTTTATCGACATGTTGTCATTTACTGAGGGGGGAAATTGGGGAGATAGGAGGAAGTTTGAATATGCTGTTTTTTTGAGATGCCAATGAGGCATCCCAGTGGATATGTTCAGGAGGCATTTGGATGTACAAGTGTGGAACACAGAAATGAGGTCCGGGCAGAACCACTCATAAGTGCCCTCATGTGTTGACATTAATCTGGAACTTTCTATTTTTCAACTAGCTTCCACCAAATGGATTTTTTTTAAATACTCACAACCATCATGTGAAATAAAGTGAACATGACCAGTTTTATAGTACACTGACATACTCCCAGCAATAAAAAGGAATGTTACACTCAGCAATATGAATGAATCTCATATGCATTATGAGGAGTGAAAGAAGCCGGAATCCAAAGGTTACTTATTATATCATTCCATTTGTATGACTTCCCGGAAAAGGCAAAACTACAGAGATGAGCAGATCAGTAGTTGCCAAGGATTAGGGTTTTGGGAGGATTTGACTTCAAAGGGACAGCATGAGGAAATTTTTTGAAGGTTATGATAAGTTGTTCTATATCCTGATTCTGGTGGTAGCAACAAAGCTCTATGGATTTTTCAAAACTCACAGAATCATACAAGTAAAAAGTGGATTTTAATATGTGCATTTTTTGAGTTTTTATTAAAAGAATGTTAAGCGAGAGAGTGTTTTAGAATGATCACTCTGGCTCCAGTGTGAAGAATGGATGAGACGCATCAAATACCAGAGGGATAAGATCTGCTTGGGGGATGTTACATGAATGCAGTCAGATAGGACTGCAACTAGGAAATAACACATGGTAATTCCTTAAAGGTTAGTTGCAATGTGGAATCTGAAACTGTATCAATGAATCTTGCCTACCTTACTACATGAAAATACACCTTTCCATCTAGCACTTTGAATGGGTCATCTCCCTATGCATGATTTTGGTTACATCATGTATTTGGCATTTGGAAAATACTCGTGCACTGAGTTATGCAAATTTTCTAAATGTTCACACATTTTATTATACAATATAAAAAATCACTTTGGCTAATATCACCATTGCATCAGGAAAATCTTCAAAGATTGGGAAAGCTACCAGGCTCACTGCTGCAGAGGCAAGTTTCCCAAAACTCTGATTTTCCTTTGAAGGTTCAAATATCATTGGTAACAACTATCGTCCATTGTTTTTCTTGAACTGATAAGCACACTTCATTCTTTTCCAAGAAACGTTTGCCAAATACTTGCCAACGCCGCTATGAGAAACCATCTATGGGGTTATCAGTTGTTCTTTCAAGCAAAAATGGCGTTCCACGTGAAAAGCAGCTGATCCGGCTGGCAACTTGGCTTTATTAAGACCACCGTGGGGGACTCAGTGTACAGCAGAAGTATGCTATGTGTCCTTGGCATGTGTCATCCAGAATATTAAAAAGCTGTGTCATCAGGGGCGCTGGGGTGGCTCAATCGGTCGAGTGTCAACTTCGGCTCAGGTCATGATCTTGCGGTTCGTGAGTTCAAACCCTGCATTGGGTTCTGTGCTGACAGCTCAGAGCCTGGAGCCTGCTTCGGCTTCTGTGTCTTTCTCTCTCTCTCTCTCTGCCTCCCCTCTGCTCGTACTCTGTCTCTCTTTCTCAAAAATAAATAAAATCTTAAAAAAATTTTTTTAAAAAAGCTATGTTGTCAAAGGTTGAGATTCAATAAAGTAAATAAAACATGCAGCTGCATCAAGGACATTGCTCAGTGAAGCTGGCTCTCCGCTCTCATTGACTGTGAGCGCATGGTGACCCTGCCAGTGCGGTTTGCAATGACAGCCTTGATTTTTCCTCAGGTGACAGTGGGTTTGCCACCATTGCTTTTGTACCATTGCCGCAAATCTCAACATGGTGAAAAAAGGCGATAGCATTTTAGTATGAGTAGGAAAACAGTCTTGACCTTGTGGATTCCCTGCCAGGCTCTCAGGACCCCTCGGGGGGTTCACAGTTCACACTCAGACAACCTCTGCTCTGGAGTACGCAGTGCAGTGCCTCGTGTGGGGTAGTCCTTTCACTGTCTGGCTGTGGAATAAATGTTTGACTGAAACCTGAATTTAGAAAGTCTTATTTGACTCTGCATCCAACCAGGGATTTTTGCACCAAGTTAGTGGAACAGATATCTAAATTAAAACGATTCTGGAAACTGTACCGCAAAGTCCAGTATTTAACTATTCACAGCCGCTCCAAAATTAACTTTAATGACAAAATTGCCTTCTTTTTCAGCAGAACATGGAATGGACAGGCCTGGTGTCTCAAAATTTTGGGAGTGAATCTGTCAGGGCACTGGACACGACCTGATGACTGGCCAGAATCCACTGGGCTTGGCCAGGGCTTGGCTATGGTTAGACTGATTTAGAATTAGTTATACAGGGAGCAGCAAGACAATCCTGTTTTTCTTCTTGTTGTGTGCCATGTGGAATTTATCTAAGTGCCCAGTTCCCATGAATTTGTCAAGGAGGTAAGGAGTTCAGAGGTCAACCACATCCATGCTGCTTGCCTACACAAAAACTTCTCAGCTTGATTCTCCCCTGAGGTATGGAACAAAACATCCTTCTGAAACCTCTAGGGGACAAATTCCCTTCCTCTGTTTCCCTCCTGGAGTCACTTCAGCACTTAATTTAATGGGGGTCTTGTGAGCAGTAGCGACTAAGATCATGGGAGAATATTTAGCCATAGCTCACTATTGGCCTCGATCATAACTCTTCTCATGTTTAGCCACATCCCCAAAGACAGCTTAAGTGCTAGAGTACACGATTTTGTTCTAATGTTAAACTGGACACTGAGGATGACTGGGGAAATAGTTTTCCTTCCTTTCCATAGGCTTCTGTATAAGCTCCCTGTCAGCACCTGCTGTGGGACAGAATTCCAAGATGATATTTTACTGATCATATCCGTTTCCCTCAAATAAGAAAATATGGAGTACACAGCACGGGCATGTGGTATTAAGTCAAAAGGAAGTCCAATGATAAATGAGAGAGGTGTTGCTGAGATAAAAAGAAGAAAAGCCAAAGCATTTTTAAGTGTGATATGTAATGATATCTTACCGTTTTCCACTGGGACTCATTTACTTCTTTGTATTGCAGTTCATACTCCAGGACTATCCATCCCTTCTGAACGTCTGCATTGGGCGGTGGTTCCCACCTCACCTGGATATCTGCATGAATCCCCGTTAAACTGATGTTCAGTAGAGTCCAGTTGAGGCCAATGGGTGGATCTGGTTGCACTGTGCGTTTCGACAGAGAGTTAGTGCACAGAGAGACAGACAGGTACAGCTCGGTATTAATGGAGTGCTTTCTTCTGAAGAGACCAATTACTTCATGCATTTTTATCGTTTACGCTCCTAATTCTTTCAATATTCTTATTATACACTCATTTTATAAGAGGGTACCATTTTTTTTTGACTTGAGTACGATCTGTTTTTAACTTTGAAGAGAACCCCTACAAAAAATTCCTTTTCAAGTCTACAACCTGACCTAAAACTTTTTGAGGATCTGCCATGTCTTACAATTCTTTTAGCCCCCAAAGAATTAATGCTTTGGGATTTTGGCCAAGGAATTCATTTTAACTCAAAACTGAAGGAACAGAGTCAGAAAGACCTACAGCATTTAAACACGTGGCTGTTTTGGAACCAGGGATCGAAAAATCTTTTTTATTCCAAATTGCTTATTACCTGCGCCAAGGATCTTATATTAACTTCTGTATGGCTACCAGAACAATCCTTCCAAACACAGCACAGGCTCCTTAGCTTGTTGTCCTCCAGTCACATGTCATGATTTTTTCACACATAAGAAGGATGGGCATTGCACTCGACTCTCAAACGGTGAGGAGTCAGGGTTTTGTGCCTTTTACCTAACTGCATGTGAACAATCTGAAATCGTGTCTTGCTTGGTTTCTACTGACATATTGTACATTCTCTGGTAAGTCGGCTGTATTCTGCTTATTAGGACCGCAAAGACCACAATTTCCCAAAGGTTGATGCAGAGAAATACGGATTCCAAAGCTAGGAACATATCTAAATTTACGTCCTAGATAGTTCCCAATAAATTATTGCACTTCATGTCTCAGTAGAGGTTTTCAAAAATCACTTGCAGATACAGAGTAAAATGTACTTTCTTTTCTACTGTTTGTAGAAGGGTACCCAGAGTGCTGCAAAGTCTGGATCCCCAGAGTTGACCACAGATAAGCCTACAAATATATGCTCTGAGGAGCCATAATTGGCTCTTAAAATCTGGTGGTCAAAAGGGGAAGCCCTTGCATTTAACCAGAGTTAAAACAGACTTCACTGTGAAGGAGCATGATAGTGCCCCCCCTTCCCCCACCCCCCACCCCATAGAGTGGACACAACTTAAAAAATTAGGAAATCCAAATTTAATAATGAACACATTTCAGAAGTTAAATTGGAGGGATTTGCAACACAGCTGAGCCACAGTATGGCTACAATAATGACAGTAATGCTTCACTCTTCTGAATTTGTTGGGGACTGAGCAATTCTGAGAGCCGAAACTTAACACTTTAAGAGACCAAATTTTTTTTGTGGAAAAATTTCAACTTATTACTCATGTTTCATCTTAAAAACTCCCCTTTCTGCTTTAAATAGAAGATATGGAACATGGTCTTTTTCTTTTCAGTTTTTAAATGTTTATTTATTTTTTGAGAGAGAGAGAGAGAGAGAGAGAATGAGTGGGGGAGGGACAGAGAGAGAGAGAGAGAGAGAGAGAGAGAGAGACAGACTCTGAAGCAGGCTCCAGGCTCTGAGCTGTCAGCACAGAGCCCAACATCGAGATCGAACTCAGTAACTGTGAGATCATGACCTGAGCCAAAGTCAGAGGCTTAACCTACCGAGCCACCCAGGCGCCCTGAACATGGTGTTTTTTGAGTGGACTCATATCACCATTACAAGCATAATAATAACCTCTCCCTTTCCTCCGTACATACTGCCACATGCTGTACTTGACAGGTCCTCCAAGATGTTGGAAAAGCACCTGAGACTGAATACATCCCCAGGCAGCCCTGGTCCTCTTCCCAGAATATGCTCCCTCCCCTGTCACTTTCCATCTCTCTGTTGCTAGTGCCTTCATTCCTCCAGTCGTTCAGGGTGAAGTTAGTGAGCTCTTCCAGGACTCATCCCTCTCTTACCACCCCCACAGTCTGTCAGTTGTACTTTCAAGACAGTCTCCGAGCCCAGCCACTGCCCACTGCTGCACCTCTCAACCCAGGCCTGCCATTAGGGTTTTTTACCCATGTTGCTGCATTAACCTCCTGAACGGTCTCCTCCTGTTGTTATTGTCCTCATTTTTTAAATTTACTTATTTTTGAGAGAGAGAGAGCGAGCGAGCAGGAGAGCAGAGAGAGAGAGGAGAGAGAGAGAATCCCAAGCAGGTTCCATGCAGTCAGCACAGAGCCTGACATGGGGCTCGATCTCACAAACTGTTCGCTCATTACCTGAGCTGAAATCAGGAGTCAGACGCTTAACTGACTAAGCCACCAAGGCACCCTGGTCTTGATCCTCCTTCAGTCTATTCTCAACACAGTCCTCAATACACTTGTCACAGTGGTTACTTTCACACTTGATTTAGAGCATATCACTCATATAAAACCCTCCACAGCCTTCCTATCCCACTCCAAGTGGAAGCCAAAGTCATTCAATGGCTTCAGGTGTACTGGAGCTTTGCCTCTCAGCTCTCTCAGATGTGGCCTGTTCCAGGCCCCTCCTGGCTCACCCTGCGGCAGGTCCTCCCCAACCACGCTGTTCCTCAAGTGAGCAAAGGCAAGCTCCCACCACAGGAGCTTTACCCTAGCTGTGCCCTCTTGTTGACGTGATCTTTACCTCAGATGGATACAATCAATGTTCTCTCATTTTTTTTCTCTCCCAGCAAAGCCAGCTCTGATAACTCTATTAAAATTGCAACCTCTCCTGCATGGCTCTTCTCCTTCCCTATGTTAGTTTTCTTCATAGCCTTGTCTCTCTCCACCCCTATTGGGATAAGATCCCACGAGGGCAGACGTTTTCTTCTCCTGGCACCTAGAGGTGTACTTGGCCCGAGGAAAAGACTCAATCGATATTTGCTGAATGAATGAATAACAAATGTCTAATAATACAGTGCTTTCAATCCAAAGACAAGCCCTGTAAGGTAGTAGGATACTCTCGTAATACATGAGGACGCTGAGGCCCATGGTTGTCATCTTCAGATCTATCAGGCTTACCTTGTTCCTTGCTGTCTCCCCCTCTCAGCTCCCTCCCTCCCTGCTATGGTTGTAATATCTGTCATCATCTTTTGTCTTGGTTATCACAAAGCCTTCTAACCTCTATCTTTGCTCCGTGCTACTCCAATCTACTCTCTCCACTGCAGGACGGATTTTCCTGAGACATTAGTAATGCGACCGTACAACTTTGAGATTAGGAACATGGACTCTGGAGTTACGCTGCATAGGTTCAAATCTCAGCTCTGCCTACTAGCTGTTTGACCTTGAGTTAGCCTTTAAGTGCTCCGAGCCTCAGTTCATCATCTGTAAAATGGGGATTATAATAGAATCTATCTCACATGGTTATTATACCCTACCCATAGGTAAGGGCTTTGTAAGTGTTAGTTAGCTATTACTATCCCCAGGTCATTTTCCTTCTTAAATATCTTTAAATGCACCTCTTGGCAGTAAGATACGGTCTTATCTTACTGGATACACTTATGATTTCACATAGGAACACTTACGATTTCTCTTGGCTGATCAGTCAGGCCTGCCTAACCGAGGCAGTTAGGTCTCCTGAGTCCTTCAACATTCTGTGCTGTTTGTCACTTCCGGAACTTAGTAGTTGTTGGAAGACACAGGCCAGCCTGTATACTTGGCAGCTCCCACTGATGCTTTCAGAAGGAAGTGAACTGCCATAATTTCTGGGCACCCCTTTCTCATCCCTCAGGCCCAGTCAATCATCTGTGTCTTTGGCCACTACCTTAGCTTACTATGTATTACACACACCTTGAGTCCAGCACCTAAGACACGGTACTGCGGTTATTTAACACATTGGACTCCCCTACTTGACCATATCTTACTCATTCTATAGCCACCATACCCAGCACAGTGTTCAGGGCATGGCAGGCCCTCAGTGAAGGCCAGTCACAGAAATGAGTGGGGCTAGCTATTGGCAGGGTCAGGATTAGAACATGGGTCTTGACCCGATATTCTTACTACTACCTATTCAGCCATTCAAAAGCTACATCTATTGATATTGGGGCATACACTGAATAGTCTCTCCAAGTTAAGCAGTTGGGTTCTCTTTTCTGCTTGTTCTTCTCCCTGACAGGCTATCAGATTTACTTGTTTCTGCCTGCAGCTTCTAGCCACATTTGCTCAGCCTCTTCTAGTCTGCTGATGCCTGGGAAACCACACACAAGCTTGTAAGAACAGCACGTCTCAGAGGAACTTCAAGGAACTTCTATCTATAACAAATGAGCCTTTGTGGATAGAGTCTGAGGCACCGATGTCATCTACTCAAAGTCCTTCTTTGGTTCTCTATATTTTGCTGTTTACACTATTCTAGTATAAACATAACAATTCCAATTACAGTTGTTTGTTTTGTTTTGTTTCATTTCCCCTTGTGTCCGCATGATGGGCAAGGGATCATCTGTCTAGATCTTTCATTTAGTTCACTGAGCTGATTATCTCCAATGTTTGTCTTGAGGTCTTATAAACATGTTTTTAAACCGATTTGGGGTTATTTTGTAACTATAAAGTTCCAGAATTATTATGCCTTGTGATAAAGAAAATCTAGGCTTTGGTTATAACAATGATAGGGATCAAAGGTCAACATGTGTCAGATCTGAATATAATAATCCTATTGAATAATTAGGAATGAAGGAATCGTGGGAGTATGCTGAGTTTGTCTCTTGCGGTGGCACCCAAGAACACAATTCAGCTTTCAAGATCTCCTCAAGCAAAAGACTCTGGAAGGCTCCCACTCTTTTCTCGACAACATTTACTGCCATTTATGTTAGAGCCAACTTAAGTCCCCCGTGCCTTCTCTCTCTTGTTCGCTGGCTGATCTCATGCCCTATAAAGCAGACTTCCATTCACCTAGATTACAATGACCAAGGCTTCCTACTTGAACACACTTGGACATTGAGGCTTCCCTGCTTACTTAATCTAAAGCCATGTCAAATAAAACACAAACCTGTGATTTACCTATTTCCTCAACAGAGAAACACTTTTGATCCACTGTACCACCATTGCTGGTTAGCTTGATACAGTAGGGTATCCAAATGGAGGTATAAGATGAATTAAAGTAACAGCTGTTTTCTCCAGCAGAGACATAATCGGGGCATTCTTTCCATTCTTGAGTCCACTCTTGAGTGCTCCTGAAATGGAGGGTAAAAGAGCATGAATTGTTCCAAGCCTCATGCCACAGTTTAAGTCAAAGCGAAGAGCCCGACAGTCAGATTCAATAAACTGGAACACAAATGTTTTACAAGCAAGTATTTTAGCAGCACCATTTCCAAGAAGTACCCCATCTGTGGACATCATCCATAGTGTCTGCAGACCGAGAGGAGGCCATTTGGGACATGGACTATAGCAAAAGCATCTGTTCATTAACTGCATACGAAGTGCCAGCTCCTAGATTAAGTCATTTGTGGTTAGGTACTTTATTGTCCACATTTTACAGATGAGGGTTCTGAGGCTTAAGGAGGTCTAAAATGTTCCTTTATTAAAACACTCCAGAGGGTCATCTCCCAAACTGTAAAGATTCCCAGAATACAATGGCTCTTTGGACTGGGTGTTTCCTCAGCTCATGGTGGAACATCCTGGGGAGGCATGTTCTCCAGGAGGAGGGACACTGAGATTTGGGTGGCTTTGAGGTGGAAAATTACCACACTACTCGGAATCACTATCATCTTCCCAAGGCTGTCTTATGCTTGGGCGAGTTATCCTGATGTCTTGAACTCCTTCCCATACTCCTGGTTTTTTCCTTAAGTGTATGAAGAGCCTTGGGAACACTGTAAACATGGTAGACATCCAGGTGACATTTATGAAGCATGGGAATCCCAGCCTTTTTCTCCCCACCCGTAAACGAGACAAAAGGCCATGAACCCAGAGGTTAAAAAATTTTTCCAAACCTAGAAAGCAATTTTTTTTCTATTTTGTAATTAGAGTGAATGTTTACTTATAATATGAAAAATGGAAACAAAATGGGCTCCACTGAATCCATGTGTTTGCCTATCTGTTCCTTTTTGTACTTTCTCTAAGAAAACAAATTCATATTTTCCTATATCTTGGATCTGATAAAAACACACAAACAGACAAACACAACAAATCATGGAGGAAAGATGGCCACATGGAGGATACCGAAGGAATCAGAGAAGCCACATCTCTGTAATTACACTCTGCCATACATTTATTCACTTCCGTCCTACTCTACAGAAAGCATCATTTACCCAGATGACCTAAAACACTGGCAGGGTGTGTGAGCTGGATGGAAAAGAGATGCTGGGAAGTTCACTGTGGAAGGAAGCAGAGGTTTGGGAAGGGAAATTCCCTGGTCAGCTGCCATGGGGACCTGAACAAAAATGCAGAGCAACCAAGGATTGCCCAGACTCAAGTCCACCATGGCAAGAACAGAGCAAACACGTGCTAGGATGTGACACAGCTCTCCAGAGTCCCATCCCTCTGACTGACTGAATGAATGAGTTCAGCAAGCCATCTTTGGGGGGCCTACTATACAAGTACTACAGAAGCATTACATCTGGCACCAGCACTGTGTGGATACAATGGTGAATAAGATTTCATTCCTACCTTCAGGCTAGAAGAAGACGCAGAAATTACACCTGAGTACTTTTTATTTTTTTCTGTCTCCTGTATTCATTGCATTCATATTTAATAAGCACTGATTATATATCAAATACTGTGCTGGACATTAAGGGGATGCACGTGTGTCTAAGGAATGACTCCTGCCTCAGAGGGATGACTAAAAAGCTGTATTACAAAGCATCATGAGTTTGTGCTCACAAATAGTGCTAAAAGTTCAGAAGAAGGAATGATTGCTCTGTTCATGGAAGGCTTCAAGGTGGAGGTGGTGTTTCCAGCAAATACATGGCAACAGGGAAAGGAAGGAGGGAACAGAGTAGACAAAGGCATTGAGGTATGCAAGTATGGGCACGAGTGTGGTGAGGGAAATAGGAGACAATGGAATAAACGGGACAACTTTTCTTAAATTAGAATTGCTACTTGGGTGGAGTAATTCATTATTTGCTTATTATTCATGAGGTATCAGCTGAGAAAAAGGCTGGCAAGTCAAGGAGACATAAAGCCAGGGAGTGAATGAGAAGAAGGTGGGAATGACCTTGTGTAGGCTGAGGTGCTTGGGGCTGGTAGGCCAGACAGTGGGGGGTCTGTGAGACTCCTTCTCAGGGAGGGGTGCTGGGTAGCAGCGAGCGACAAGGCTGTGGGGAAGGCAGGGACCGGAAGGAAGGGACGAGGGAGATAACACACACTTCCTTCTTTACAGCTGTTTCTCAGGCTGGTCTATTGGCACTAGGAGGAAACTTGTGCAGTATGAGGGGGTCCTTGAGACAGGTGCTCATCAGCTGTTGGAAAGAACTTGGGATTAACATGGCCAGTGAACTGTTTCTTAAACTCTGGTTGAGATTCTCAAAAGTTGCATACCCTTGGATGAGAGGGAGATCCATCCCTGATGGGAAGTGTGAGTGGTGTGTGTATACATGCATGTACGTGTGTGTATGTGTATGTGTGTGTACGTGTGTATATGTGTATGTATGTGCATGTATACATTTGTGTGTATATGTGGACATGTGTGTGTGCATGTGTGTGTGTTTAGAATAATAGGAAAAGGATTTAAAACGTTAGGGCTAGGTGGGTCATTGACATATACTATGGTTTATTTTATCTTGACTGTCAAGCTAAATAAAAGTGTATTCGGGAGAATGGTTTAGCAAGATTGTCCAGAGAAATGAGCCTCTTATTTAATAGCATAAATACAAAATGTATTTAGCATAGTTGATAGTATAAAAGTTAGCATTAAAATGTAAAGATGTAGAACAGTGCCTGGCAGGTCTGGACTGTAATAGGGAGTTTAGCTCTGTGTGTTTTACGGTTTCTCAACTTGTGACATCCCCATGGGGATGGGGACTGTATGAAAAATCTTGTTTAGATTATTCCAAATCCATGAGTTCCACAGAGCAAACAACTTAAGCACTTATCTTAAGCACGATGGGTTGAGAACAGTTAGTTCAAAACATGACTCCCAATGCCCTCCCCATCTTTAACCAAAGTTGAACTTTATTTTAAATAAATATTTAAAACTTCTTTTTAAACTCTTAAATTTAGACAGAAAAAACCCCCAAGAAACAAACGGACTCACAAAACAGAGACTCTGTTGCCTGCTTTCCCCGGTTGAATTTGTATGCAGGCAAGCAAAGCCATATGGAAACTACTCTCCCTTTGTCATGCTGCTAAGAGTTAAGTGCACTACGTTTGTTCCTAGTCTATCTTGTGAAATAGAAGGAAGCTGTACAATGAGACCATCAGTAAAAATCAGAATAAAGAGCAGAAGAAATGCTTTCTATCCAAATGCTGTTCCATCTAGCAACTGGAAGAAAAATCCTAAAAGTAAAATATCACTTATGTTCCAAGGACGGCTATTTTCATTACATACAGATCATGTGTTTCAGGCTTAAAATTCAACCTTTTCATTGGGAAAAAAAAAAAGTAATAGTGCCCTTTCTCCCTTCTAATCTCCCCTACAACCTTGCATGGAAGATCAACTTCCCTTTAAAAGGCTAGGATATATATATATATTGTAAGCATTTGTATTGAAAATGTCCCATGGGGCGCCTGGGTGGCTCAGTTGGTTGAGCGTCCAACTTCGGCTCAAGTCATGATCTCGTGGTCTGTGAGTTCGAGCCCTGCGTCAGGCTCTGTGCTCACAGCTCAGAGCCTGGAGCCTGTTTCAGATTCTGTGTCTCCCTCTCTCTCTGACCCTCCCCCGTTCATGCTCTGTCTCTCTCTGTCTCAAAAATAAATA